TTTAACTATAGAAGAATGATTTATTGTGTGGATTTACACCTGGACAGGACTTCAAGGATGGTTGCATCTATTTAGATGATGTGGGAAAAGTCTCAGCAACAACTTGCATTTATATAGTGCCTTTCATGCGTCTCAGATCACTTGATGATCGCGGAGCTTGATGCCAAGCTGGGGAGAAAAGGGAGTTAACCGTAGGCCCGGTTGAAGAGCAAGGTGTTCAGGAGCAATAATAATCCTTCCATTTGATAAAGAGCGTATCATGTCTTCGAGACGTCTCAAAGCATTTCACAGAGTATACTGTAAAGAGAATTGACTGCAATCTGAAAATCGACAAAGAGGAGGAGGAGGAGGTGAAGGGATTGAGGCGGGGAGTTCCAGAGTTTTGGGGCATAGTCACTGAAAGCACAGCCACTGATGGTTATAGCAGAAGGGATGAGGGACATCTAGAAGGCTGGAGCCAGTTGAGCAAAGAGGATGTGTAGAGGAGTGGGTTGTGAGCAAGAGATGCAAAGTTCCTTGGAAGTCCTGTCTACCTGTTCAGGTGTAAGTCCACACAACATAGAATATACAGCACAGAAACAGGCCATTCAGCACAACTGATCAATGCCAGCATTTATGCTCCATATGAGCCTCTTCCTGCCCTTCCTCAACAACAACACTTATACAGCACCCTCCACACAGGGTAGCGTCTCAGAGCGCTTCATAGTGGCGAAGCCTGAATCTGAGCTGAGGTGGGGGGTCGGGGAGGTGGCTATAAGCACGGCCAAAGAGGAAGGTTTTCAGGCAGGATTTGAAAAAGGGGAGAGAGCGGGCAAGGCAGAGCAATTATGGGAGAGCCTATCAGCATAATCTTCTGTGCCTTTCTTCCTCATGTACTTATCTCGCTTCCCTTTAAATGCCTCTATGCTATTCGCCTCAGCTACTCCTCGTGGTAGCAAGTTCCACATTCCCTCCACTCTCTGGGTAAAGACGTTTTTTCTGACTTCCCTATTTGATTTATTGGTGACTATTTTATATTTATGGGCCCTGGTTTTGGTTTCCCCCACAAGTGGAAACATCTCTATGTCTACCCTATCAAAACCTTTCATAATCTGAAAGACCTCTGTTAGTCCCCCCTCACCCTTCTCTTTCCAAGACAAAAGAGTCCATGCTTGTTCATCCTGTCCTGATAGGTATAACCTTGCATTTCCAGTATCATCGCGCAACAAAAAAATTACAGTTGTATAGCGCTTTTCATATCGGGAGGACCAGGATCTTTAACTGTATCCTTTGTGTGATGGGAAGCCAGTGGAGTCGGGTGAGGATGGGGTTGTTAGGATTGCGGAGCCTGGTGCGGGAGAGGACATGAGCTGCAGAGTTCTGGATGCTCTGTAGCCTATGGAGGGAGGAGTTGGGGAGGACGACAAGCAGGGAGTATGGGTAGTTGAGCCTGGATGTTATGAATGAGTGTATGAAGGTTTCGGTGGCCTGCGGTGTGAGACAGTGGCGAACCCAGGCAATAAATCATTCTTCTGTAGTTAAAGTCATGGCAATATTCAAAAAGAATTGGGAGGGTCTCCCACTATCCTGGGAGGTACTAGGGCATGGAGTGATTTGTAGGTGAATGTGAGGATCTTGAAATTGATCTGTTATGCAACAGGGAATATGGCAAAGACTTGGGTGATGGGGATGCAGAGTTTGGAATTAATTGAATTTTATGAGTGGTGGAGCTGGGGAGACCCTGGTGGGGGTATTGGAGAAATTCAGGCAGGAGGTGGCGTGGATTTTAGCTCAATTTCAAAGGAGCAAAGAGTGGAAAGGGGAATAGGCCAAGTGAAAGCAAAATAGAAGGTGGTGTAGATTGAGCTGGGATCTAATAGAGAAAGTGAACCTCAATGGGAAAGCAAGAGTAATATCAGGAATAATAATAATCCTTGCATTTGATATAGTGCCTTATACGTCTTCAAGAATATACTGTAAAGTGAATTGTCTATATTTTTTGTGGGCATAACGCGGCAGCCAATTGCGCACAGCAGTGTCCCACACAGTTGTGGATTGAGTGACCAAATTTTTTTTTTTGAAGGAATTATTACTCTCAGAAAAGCAGTCCGCCAATCGAGTAACAACGGGGAATGCATGAAAGGTTTGAACAGATGAAGAGGGTTAGGCGAAGTTGAAAGTGAGGTTTGGAATATGAAGTCAGTGAATGGCATAGCATCAGGACAACACATCAGTCTGACAAGTTAAAACAAAAAACAGGGTGGAGTGAGTCATTTGAAGATGTTCTAAATACTTTCAGCTTTTTACAGTTGGAATGGGATGAGAATAAATATTGTTTGTAAAGACAACATGAAAGGGCTTTTTTCTTTTGCCAAATAATCGTTCTATTCTTCCCTCCTCCTAATGGCGCTGGCGTGCTTGGTTAGGGTTATATGGGTGCTGGCAGCCCTCCAGAAATGGCTGTGTGTAGCTCCACTGATCTCCCCCAAGATGTTGATCTGAATTGAAGGCATTTGTTTTTTTTAAACCAACATTATTAAAGAAGCAACCACACTTGTGTTTATCTACTGATCTGCAGCATGTAACATAAATAATAACGAAGATAATATATACAAAAAGAATGAGACTGAACCAAAGACAGCAATACAGAGAAGAGCAGCCTGTGAATAGGCAACACAATATGCAACGTTTAACAAGGCTGATGATTTAATATGTATTTGTAAACAACGAGGGCCATGCAAAGTTCATGCAAGATATCATTGTATTTCAGTGAGAATATTTTCAGGAATCATTTTACTTCCCCCTATGGGAATTGCTGTCTCATTTGAAAATTATTTGGTTTTTTTTTCTTGAGTGTGCACTTTTTTTTGGTCAGCCGGGTGTCTGACATGTCGAAATCCATTACCATGCTTAAGAGTATCCAAACCACGCTGAGTTCCATGCATCCCATGAATATAGATATTCCAGAGATGTTTATTGGAATGGAATGCGCACTCTGTCCCTGGAGGGGTGCATCCTGCTTACTTAATTCTGGAACAGGTTACGCACAGGTTGGCAAGAGCCAAGGCTTGGGTACCCTGGAGTGTGCATTGCAATTGATGTCATTAAGTAGTTGCTTAAAATCCTGAAGGACAAATTCCATTTGCCGCTAATCGAGTCTTTTGGTCAGTTTTTATTGTTGGAAGTGAGGCAGCTGCAGTGTGATTCAAAGCTTGAAGCACAATCACAACAACAAGTTGCATATATATTGTTTATGCTTTTTGTAGTCAGCTGGATGTCTTGACACATGCGGAAACCTGTCACTATGCTTAAGAGTATCCAAACCAAACTGAGATTTCCATGCATCCCACCTATACATGGAAATTCCAGAGGTGGATCGTTGGAATGGAATGCGCACTCCAACCCTGGAAGGACACATCCTGTTTCCCTAACTCCAGAAAGTATTAGGTGCAGGTTGGCAAGAGCCAAGGCTTGGGGACCCCAGAGTGTGCGTTGGGGTGTTGCTGGAGTCTAACCAGCTAAAACCGCATAACTTGCCATTGATATCCTGTCTGCTAAGCTTTCCCACTGCTTGTCCAGCTAGGACCACCCTACCCATTGTAGAGTTAACAGGAGGTGAGTCTCTCTGTGAATATGTGTGTCTGCGAGTGTGTGTGTTTCTCTCTGGGTCTCTGACTCTGTGTCTGTGTGTGTCACCGCATACAAAGACAGAGACTCAGAAAGAGCTCACCACCTCCTGCCTCCCCTGAGAGGTAGGCAGTAGTGAGGTCCTGTAGCCCTGCAGTCAGGTCAGTAGTCCTGAATGTCTTGTTTTTTGGTGAATCTCCAGGCCCTTCCGGCCTGCGCTGGTGTCTGCAGGTTTGAGCCCTCATTCGGTGGATGGTAGGAACTCCCTGTTCGTGTATACGCTTCACGTAAGATAATATCTCGGACCACCAAAGCTGGAATGATTTGCTTCGTGATCAGGAAGGATTTATACTTTAAGGTTACATAAGAACTTTCAGTCTACAGTTTTTGAGCAGAGGTTGCCTTTATAACAACAACAAAATTACATTTGTATAGCGCCTTTCACATCGGGAGGATCTCCTAAGGTGCTGGACAGAGTACAACATTTCAGACCCGAGCTGGGGTCGGGGAGGGAGAAGGCAGGGGAGGGGAAGGAGGGTAACTGGTGGCATGGTCGAAGAGGGTCTTGAGGCAGCACTTTAAGGAGGGGGCGAGGCGGAATGATTGGGGGATGGAATTCCAGAGGTTGGGGTTAGAGTGGCTGAAGACTCTCCCGCCAATGGTGGGGTGGGGGGGTCAGGGGATGTGGAGTAGGCTGGAGTCGGCTGAGCAGAGGGAACGGTGGGTTTGTAGGGGGTTAGGAGGTTGCAGAGGTAGGGTGGGGCGAGGCCATGGAGGGCTTTGTAGGTGAGGACCAAGATCTTGAACTGGATCCTCTGAAGAATAGAGAGCCAGTGGAGTCGGGCGAGAGTGGGGGAGATGGGGTCACAGAGTTTGGTGCGGGAGAGGACACGGGCTGCAGAGGTTCTGGATTATCTGCAGCCTGTGGAGGGAGTAGTTGGGAAGGCCGACAAGCAGGGCGTTTGCATAGTCGAGCCTGGAGGTCATGAAGGCATGAACAAGAGTTTCAAGAGTTTCCGCGGCCTGAGGGGTGAGGTAGTCGTGGAGTCAGGCAATGTGACGGAGGTGAGGGAAGGCAGAGTGGATTCATGGCTTGAATGTGGGGGAGAAAAGACAGTTGAGGATCGAACAAGACACCTAGGTTCCTGACTGGCTTGGTGAGTTGTAGTTTATATTACAGCGATACGACTTGATATCCTGGTGAAACCACCTCCTTAAGGTGGACTTTGCAACCAACACTGAACTCTTTTAACTTCAGGTTATGAGGTCACAATTTCTGTATCAACTGTTGCAAGTTCATCGATTAAAATACAATCAAAGCATTTGCAGTGTTTTAGATTCAGCTTCAGCCATAGCACCGATCCTCTAATTATTTTCTGTTTTCTTTTAAACAGGGCATCAATGCCTCTGCTTTGGAGAAAGAGATTGGGCCAGAACAGTTTCCAGTCAATGAACATTATTTTGGTCTAGTTAATGTAAGTACTTGAAATTTCAAAATGGTACCAACATTTCAAATAGAGAAAAAAAACTTTCAGTGACATAGTTTTAGATTATGTTTTGTGGAAAAATACACACACTAACTGGTCAGAATATGGACAACAGAATAACTGGGTTTGGAGGTTAATAAGCAGAAGTATTGGTATAAATGAAAAATGTTATTTTGGAATTTCAGTAAATATTTTTTTAAAAAGTTTAAAAGCAAGACTAAGAAGGAAATAAAGAGCAATATAACTAAAGTAAGGCCTATGATTGAGCTTTCCCTGGAGATTCTGTATTGCACATTTAACGTCCTGATTAACTTGCATTAACTCTGAAATATGGTTTGTAATTTACAGGAAATTGAAGGAGATAATAGCAGTGGGGAAAATGCTTTCTATGCAAAGTATTCTGTCATCATTCTCATTTAAGCAAACTACCAAGATATCTCCTAAATTGTGGACAGTTTATTTGATTTATTATTGTAATTTCAGCCTCCTAGAAACAGGTCATTCCATAATCCCATGTAGGATCAGTCCATGTGTATCCCACTTCGGCTCTGATTTTCATGGGAGCCAGCATTTTAGTTGAAGGACAATTCAGATATTCCCCAACCAGAAAAATGTACCACTGGCTGAATGATGTTGCAGCTTAGGCTGGTAGTAGTTGTTCCAGGATCTGATGCCTCCAGATCATGGTCCAGGCATTAGCTCCTATTATAATCAATGGAGGTGCTGGACTATGTAATGGCATCTGCACATTTCATTAGAACATAAGAGCTTAAGACCTTCCTCTTTGACCACAATGTCGGTCATCTTCCCACCCCCACCCCATCCATCTTGAATCCAACCAATTCTTCCCATTGATAGAGGAAGCGTTACAAACCGGCCTTGCCATAAAATCAGAGCCAAGACAAACATTTCTTTACACAGAAGGTTTGTCAACCAATTTTACTTGGGTTAGAAGGTGGAACAACAGGATAAGAAATAACATCTGCTTGACAAACGTGTACAAAATTGCTGATTAGAATGGCCAGGATGTATGATGTATACAACAAATGTAAGATGGTAACTGTGTAGATATATTGTTCTGAACTACAAAGTATGTTGTGACTAGCCTGACCTTGTTTTGCCCTTCTCTTGATCTGCCAGTTTGGGAATACGTGCTACTGTAACTCAGTCCTTCAGGCACTTTACTTTTGCCGTCCATTTCGGGAGAAGGTTCTGGCCTACAAGAATCAGCCCAGGAAGAAGGAGAACCTGCTCACATGCTTGGCAGATCTCTTTCACAACATAGCTACACAGAAGAAAAAAGTTGGTGTGATACCTCCCAAAAAATTCATAACAAGATTACGAAAAGAAAACGGTAAGGCTCTCAAACTCATGGGATTGACCAGGAAAGTAAGAACACTCTCATTTCTGAACAAAAGTCAGGAGTATAATCAGCCTGGCAACATCTCAGGGTTAGTTTGGTTCAGCTTGTTGCACTGTTGCCTCTGGGTCAGAAGGGTATGGGTTTAGCCCTGGTCAGAACTTGATTTCATAGACTGTCATTTCAGTGCAGTACTGGGGAAGTGCTAAATTGTTGCTCATGCCATCTAATATCAAACTCAGTTGCTGCCTGTAATTTAGGTGGGCTTTAGCAATCCTGTGGTACTACTTGAAAAGAAAGGGGGTTTCTTTTGATATCCTGGCCAACATTCCTCCAGTTTAATTGGTCATTCACCTTATGGATGATTGGGGAATGTTGGCAGCGCATACAGCTACAGTTATAGCCTATAAAAACAAAACAGTTGTTGCAATTACTTGACCATAATTACCAGCGAAGCACTTCGAGATGTTTCAGTATAATAATAATCCTTGCATTTGGTCTAGCGCTTTATCACATCTTTGCGGCGCTTCACAGAATATACTGTAATATGCCCTCTGCCTCCTCGGCCTCCTGGATCTCTGCCACGTTCGTCACAGTCAACCGCACCAGCCTCCTCCACTGCTTCTCCTCCCTCATCCACCTGAGTTGGACAGCACTTGCATGGTTCGAGTCCTGCTTAACCAACCGCCTCCACTTCATCTCGGCAAATGGTTTCCCGCCCCCACCCGGTCACCCGTGAGGCACCTGAGGACTCCATCCTTGGTTCTCTTCTTTTCCTCATCATTTGCTCCCTCTGGGCGATGTCATCTGAAGCCTAACCAAATGACACGGGGTAAACTTCCACATGTATGTGGATGACACACAAATCTACTTTGCCTCCTCCAGTATTGCCTCCAGGTGATGTTCTATCAGTTGTCTGGCATACATCAGGGCTTGGATGAGTATAAACTTCCTGCAGCTGAATGTGGACATGACGGAAGCCATACTCCTTGGCTCCCGTCAACGTCTTCACTTCTAAGGATCTGAACTCCTTAACCTCTTGGGCTCTCCCTCAGACACACCAACCAGTGGGCAATCTAGGCGTCCAATTCAACTCCCAGCGGTTCTGCTTCCCCCACATCCGGTCCCTGACCAGGAATGCCTTCCTCCACCTCAGCCACATTGCACGTCTCCGACCGTACCTTATCCCAAATGCAGCCGAAACCCTTGTGCGTGCGTTAGTCACCTCCCGCCTGGATTACTCAAACACGTTCCTCGCCGTTCTCCCCAGCTCCACTATTAAAAAAAACAGCTCATTCAGAACTCTGCTGCGCACATACTTACCTGGATCAAACTGCGTACCCACATCTCACCAGTTCTAGCCAGGCTCTACTGGCTCCCCAATCACTGAACGGATCGACTTCAAGATCTTCAGAGTTTTGTTCAAATCACTTCACTACCTTCCTACCTCTCTCACTTCCTCACTTCCCGTCCACCACCTGGTGCCTCTGCTCGACTGGCACCGGCCTCCAGCTTGTCCCTCACAGTCTCTGCTCCACCACTGGAGATTGTGTTTTCAGCCACTACGCCCCGAAACTGTGGAACACTCTCCCTCAATCCCTCCCCTTGCCTCCTCTCCCCCCTTTCAATGTTTTGATAGTACAATCATTTTATTGCTATGTATACTTATTATCTAAATAGTTAAGAAAAAAGCAGTAGTTCTTTAATACATTTTAACGGTCTTTATGCAGTTAACCAGGTTCTGTTTGATTTTGGTTCTAATTACAGCTTTAATTATCACAATGAGCGAAATAACAGTTTTTTCTGTCATTATGTATAAAGCACTATAAAATTGTCATTGGGTGTACCTCTCCGTGTCTCTGCACATTTTTCTCTATTTTCTCAATGACTTCAATGTGAAGCCTACTAATCAAATGAGTAGCAATGGTTGATCATTGCAAGCCAAGTAAATGCGTCTGGCACCTCAGCATAAGAAAACTGACAGCTTGTCTTTCCACTTGTGGAAGTGACTTGGCTGGCTGAGGACTCTTTGTATTTTGAGAGGTAGATTGAGATGTCATTGGATGTATTGAGAGGTACACCCTATTACATTTTTATAGTGCTTTATACACAATGACAGAAAAATGGTTTCTCTCATTGTGATAATTAAAGCTGTAATTATAACCAAAATGAAACAAATGCACAACAACTGTTAAAATATATTAAAGGACTACTGGTATTTTCTTACTTATTTAGATATATTTTTATAATCTTTGTGCAGTTAACAAGGTTCTGTTTTATTTTGGTTATAATTACGGCTTTAATTGTCACAATGAGAGAATAATGGGATAATTACCAGTAGTTTTCTGTCATTATGTATTTACTATCTTCCTACGAGTTCATTGCCTGACCCTGACCGTACCTCACACTCAACATACCCAAAACCCTCTTCCACGCTTTCGCCATCTCCTGCCTCAACTATTCCAATGCCCCAATCACCAATCACCCTAGCTCCCCTATCCACAAAATCCAACTAATTCAAAACTGTACTGCCAGTATACTCACCTGCTGTAAACTCCATACCCCCATCCCACCAGTCCTTGCCAGGCTCTCCTGGCTCCCTATCACAGAAAGGATTACCAAGATCCTCATACTCGCCTACAAATCCCTTCATGCCCTGGCACGTCACTACCGCTCCGACCTGCTTACTCCCCACTCTGCTACCTGCTGCCTCACTCGGCTGACTATGGCCTCCTGCATGTCCCTCATCCCCTCCGCTCCACCATCGGTGACTGTGCTTTCATCGACTACATCCCGAAACTTTGGAACTCTCTCCCTCAATCCCTCTGCCTTACCCCTCCTTCCCTATTTCCAGATAATACCTGAAGACCTTCCTCTTCGATCATGCTAACGGTCACCTAACCCCACCCCCAGCTTGGCATCAGGCCCCACCACTGCAAGATGCTACCCTGCTGGAAGTGCACTATTTACACACAAGTTGTTGTTGAAGGGTGAAGTTGGCTCTTAGATGATGGACCTGTCAAAGGAATATAATAATCCTTGCATTTGATATAGCGCTTTTTCACGTCTTCTGGACGTCTCAAAGCGCTTCACAGAATAGACTGGAAAGTGAATTGACTGTATATTTTGTGGGTGAAACGCAGCAGCCAATTGCGCACAGCAGTGTCCCACAAACAGTCGTGGATTGAAGTGCCCAATTTATTATTTTTTTNGAGGGATTATTATCAGGCGTTCAGAGTAAGGAAACTTGCCCAGCAACAACAACAACAACAAGATTCCATTTATAGAGCGCCTTTCATGTCGGGAGGACGTCCCAAGGTTTCACCCTGCTGGGAATCGAACTCAGGTCTCTCGCTTACAAAGCGAGTGCTCTAACCACTGAGCTACAGGACTCCACAAATCAAATATTGGAATCAAGACAATCTTTTGAGATTTTGGTATCCCGGTTCCTGAGCCAGGCAGGTCCCCAGCAGTCTGAGGCACTGTTAATGACAAACCAGCTCACCTGGCTCATCGGCAGGACTTGGAGGGGCAGAGGGGGGTAGAGATTCTTCCCACTCAGCTCCTATTAAACCTGTAAGGCGAAGCCCTAAGGGGAAAGGGACGTCCTAGCTGATGAAACAGTGGGAAGCTTGTCAGATAGGGCTCACAGTGGCAAGCTATACGATTTTAGATGATTTATACTTTCTTGAATTATGTAAATAGGGTGTGTCCCTCCAGGAAGAGAGTACGCATTCCATTCCAAATAAATGGGAAATTTCCTAGCACAGGTGGTATGCTTATGTCTGATTTGGATACACTTAAGCATGGCCAAATATATTAGGATATAATGATGTACTTGTTCTTGATAGTAGAGTTGCATTTTAACAATCTGAACATTTTTCTCTTATGGGGTTGGTGGGGGGAAGCTAATCTAATCAAACACTAATATTTGGTAGAATGGCATGTTCTCAAACCAATGCTATAATAGTTTACTGAAATGCAAGAAGGAAATGTTGGAAGATTGTGTTTATATTAATTGGGTTTACTTTTGTGAATTGTAACTACCTTGGACGAAAGCACTTTGTACCTAATTTAAAATAATTGTATTATTAATAATAATTAATCTCCCAGTGGTGATATGAAGCATAGTGTACAAATCAGGTCCTGTACATTCTCTGTATAGATGTTAGAATATTATTTTTGTTTACATTTTTGGCTTTTAAAAAACATGTTGGATATGGTTGTTTCGACCCTTATAAACTCGGTGTGTCTCCACCTAGCTCTCCCACCCACTTACTTCCAAACTCTAGTGTGAAATAAAGATACAAACAGAAATTCATGTCAATTTGGAATAGCATGAGGCATGATTGATCCGCCTTCACTGGGTTACCTCTCTCTGTATGTTGCCTCCTGCCTTGATGTGATGCTATGATACGATGAGTAACCTCTTGTCTTCAGTGATGAGAATCAGTGAAGCCTGCCCAGAAATAGCAGTATGAAATGCTGCCCAACTGAGTTTTAACATCATGCCTCTGGAGGTCAGGCCAGTCTTTGATACCAGGATCTTTGATACCAAGAACTGTAGGCAATGAAAAAGTGCAGCAGTGAATGGAGATAATTGGTTTCTGGGATCAAATTTACTTTCTTAGAATTTTTGTGAAAGCAATGATCTTGGAAGCAATCACTTGTGTAAAATTATTCCCAACAGTCCCAAAGCTAAATAAATTCAGTTTCCCAATTACGTTTTATGTACCAACAGCTGGGCCCCCTTTTTTTTTGGTTGATACTGAGCCAGTTCCCACACTAATTTTAAAAGTCAAAATTGTATTAGGATTTAATTTTTAATTTGTTACATGCAAGTGCTGAATACTGAAATGCTATCAGTGGTATCCGATCTTCAAAGCTAAATCGAACGCTGATCAGAAATGATGTTCTGTTTTAATAATGCAGGGCAGTACATTGTTATGGTTACAGGCTAATAGTTGCTTTATTCATACATTGATTCATACAACAATCATACATACATACATACACACACACACACATACATACATACATACGCACATACATACGTACATAATACATTGCCCCAACATTTTATGTTACAGAACTTTTTGACAATTACATGCAACAAGATGCTCACGAATTCCTGAACTACCTGTTAAACACCATTGCTGATATCCTGCACGAAGAGAAAAAGCAGGAAAAACAAAATGGACAGCTGCATAATGGTTCGATTAATGATGACAATGGCAATAGCAATGCCAATGACATGCCCGAACCTACCTGGGTCCATGAGATGTTTCAGGGAACATTAACAAATGAAACCAGATGTCTTAACTGTGAAACTGTAAGTGCAATGTTCAATGTGCTCATTATTTTGAAAATTCGAATTAACCTTGTCATTAAGTCTTTTTTATTACGTTGGAGATGTTCAGAAAAAGAGATGTATAGAACATGTTGAGGCAAAATGAAATAATAAATAATGTTAATACTGTTATATTGTTTGCCTTGTGGTCCGTCTACTCAATCTATGAATTGAATTCTCCTTGTTTTTTTCAATGCTGTTAAATTTTTCTGTTTAATTTTGTTCCATAGTGTCTAAAGGAAATAAATCTTCATGCGTCTTCATATGTTGTATAGTATTTCACAAGAACAACAAACTGTTTTCCAGGTTCTTGTTGCTACCTTCTACCATTAGTAATTTTAGCTTGCTTTTCTTTTTACTTCACAGGTAAGTAGCAAAGATGAAGACTTTCTAGACCTTTCTGTTGATGTGGAGCAAAACACTTCAATTACACATTGTTTGAGGTATGCAGATAAAAGTATTAATATGCAACCGATAATATTGAACTCTTAACATATTCAAGAATTACATATGTTGTGTATCAAATTATCTGACTTATAATTTAGCTATGTCTCCATTAAAAGCATGCTGTAAGTCTATTTTGACTTTTTTTTAATGCATATCAGAAGTAAATGCGAGATTTAATTCTCAATTTATTGTACAGGGGCTTCAGTAACACAGAAACTCTGTGCAGCGAGTGCAAGTACTACTGTGAGGTGTGCTGCAGTAAACAAGAGGCTCAAAAAAGGTAGGGGGTTTCAGTAAACTTCTTCAAAAGATTTATTTTAAGAATTTGTGTAGTGAGTGCACTGGTTACTATAAATACTTCAATATGATACAGTTCTGGTATATGGAAAATGTATGGTTATAATGTTTTTTCTGTAGTATTCCTGGAATATTATGAATGGTTTTCCCGATTCTTTACTTACTTCCAGCTTTGCCTCCAGCTTTGCTTTATAAACGTCTGCATTCCAAATTAGTCAGATCAATTTTTGAATGGGGGTGGAGGGGGTTACTTAAATTACCATTTAGGACTGGAATGATTCCAATAGCAGTTAAATAATTTTCAGATAATTGCAAAACCACTTTAATTACATTCATTACAGGCAAATTGTTTGGCAGATTCCATTCCTTATATTTTTAATAACGCAGCATTTAATGCAGACCTGTGTGCAATTTGAATACTGTAAACGCTGATTAATCCACTGTTTCAGATAATGAGAAGTGTCACTTATTTATTTCGCCTAAAGGACATTTTCTGAAACTCAAAATGATGGTTTTAATTTGTGTTTTAAATGGAAAATATATGATTAAAAAAATAATAACAATAATCCTCGCTTTTGATGTGGCGCCTTTCATGCTGGGAAGATGCCTGAACATGCGTCAAAGGATTTACTGTAAAGTGTAGTGAATGTATATTTTAGGCAAGATAGATTTAAAATTACGGCAAGGCCAGATAGGATCAATGAGGAAACAGTCTTGTGTACAATCTGAAGTACTATATATGTGATATCAGTTAAGGGATCTAATAGAGTGATGAATAGATACTTGGGCAATAAAAATATTAAGGAAGGTGAGGAGGTGGGATTAGGGGAGGTTTGTAGTTGACGAACAATGGAATGGTCTGATGGATTGGGCTCTAAATTTCTATGTTCCTATGTTTCACTTTCCAAAGCTTTGTAAAATAGGGAAAAATTGGAATTGATAATGAATTGGTTCTTTGCTTATTCTGTGCAGTTATCATGATCTGTGCAGTTACCAATTGAAATGAGAATTTTTACTTAGCTCTTCCAAGATAGCTCTTGATTTCTGCATTGGCTGTCATTGGCTCAGTCATACTCCCTCCGACTCCCTCCCTCCTCTCGTTCAAGGCACGTCTCAAAAAATGTGCTTCTTTGACCGATCTTTCAGTCATCCCTCCCCTCCCGATCCCCTTTGGTTCCCACCTTTAGCTTGGATACCTATCCAACATTGTTAAGCGCTTTGTGTCGTCCACCTGACACTAAAGGCAAAATATAAATGTATTTTGTATTATTGCATTTTTTTTGCAGATTATTTGTCCTTCCTTGTCACTGCATGATGTGGAGATGGAACAGAATATTCCAGTTCTCCACTGCTACACGTTTTAAAATATCATAACTCCCTTCATATGTCACAATGTAACTAAGTTATTGTATCTTCAATCATCATTTTGAGTGGTTTTAGGGATGAACTGTGTTGTATTACTTTGTACTTGTTTGGTAATGAAATGGGTTTAAATCTTCTGAATTGAAGTTGTTAGTTTGTTTGTTAGTTGGGCTAATTTGGCAGAAATTTCTGAAGTGAAAAGTGCCATGTTCCGAGAACATAAGAGAGGCGGTCAAGCCCCGTTTTGTCCACGCACAATGAACAATCAACCATACTGTTGATTCTGCATCACCCATTTAATCTAAAAAAAAGGTACTCCCTGATTTCTGAACCTTATCAATGAAGCCTAACTTCCAGAATATTCACTCATCCTTGGGTCTTGACATATCAGCCTGACATTCGCCACAACTAACCTTTAATTAGCTTTGTTGATCTCAGCGAGCTGGTGTAATCAATAATGCAAATCCTTTGGATTGGATACTTTTTTCTGTACCTGTTTATTGTTTCATTATGATTCACCATTTAAAATAATCTAACATTTGTCACCTTTAAAATCTACCCAGCACTCCTTAGCTTTTCTGGTACAATAAGCATAGATCTTCCTGATTGCCACATGTTATAATTAGTTACCTACCCACATAGCGGGGAAACATCAGGCAATGTTCTAATGTAACAAAGCATACATATTCTTTCAGATCATATACAAATACAGTAGTGTAAGCAGCAGGAGAGCCAGAACAGGTCCCTGTGAGATTATGTTACAGTAATTACTGCTCTCAAGGTGGAGTGTTTTCCATTTATTTTATGTGCCTAATCAGCCACAGCCCTGCTGTTTGAGGATAAGATCATTTGTGCAGATCTTTGCTAGCACAAGGCACACCTTGGATTGGCAGTAAACAGTTTATGGAATGGTGCTCCTCACTGAAGAAGGAATTTAGTCTCTAAGGGAAGATTTTTTTCAGATTAATGACAGTTGCGTAGCGTTTAGAGACAGGGGTCTATTTTGGTAGATTGCCAACTGTTCTATATTCTCCCCATTTATGCTGATCTTCTGATCCCAAGTCTCCGAGCTGCCTGACAAACACGAGAACTTCTGCAGGACGACTATCTTTCAATTTTCCCTCCTATTTAGCCATAGTACCACGAATGAGCTTGGGAACATCCCTCCCTTTCCTGAGAATCAAACCTAAAACGTCATTATTTCCATGGCCAAGTGCTGCAATGTGCTGAAAGTACCGTCAGACATGTTTTAAAGCACATGTGCTTTCTTTCATGACATTTAGAGACCACTACGTAGATAAGCCACTGGTTCTGTATAAAAATACTCATCTTCTTATCCAATATGAGAAAAAAAGTACAACTAAGAATTTATCTTGTTAATATAAAGCGCATGTTTTGTACGAAGCTATGAAAAGCAGTTAAGATATGAAAGTAGAGAAGTCACTTTGTAGCTCTAGTTTTAAAGGATGGTACATCAGCCTTGGCTATTATTTGAGAGTGGCTACTTTCTATTGGCAAGTTATACCTGACAGCTAGATGAACCACCTTGTCAAAAATCCATCGGCATGCTTGAAAGTATCCCAAACAGACTGAAAGTTCTGCATATGGCTAACTATGCATGGGAAGTCCCCTGTGTCTGGAATTGATTGCGCCTTCTCTGCCTGAAGGGACATACATTGCTTATTGTTGTCGAATGTACGTTGGGGTACTGCTGAAGTTTTACTTACTAAAATCACATAGCTTGCCATTGTAAGCATTGCTTGGCAAGCTTTCTGCTATTTAAAATAATGAAGGAAACTGATGAACCAGATAGGGGACAACTCTTCCTTCTCCTAAAGCGAACCAAATAAGCAAATGTAATCCTAAAATTAGAACTGAGCTAGATAGAAGTGAAATCAGTAAGCATTTCTTCACACCCGGTTGTGAAAATTCAGACTCTGCAGGTAGCGTCAATTGGGGCTGCTTAAAAGAGAGGTTGAAATAATAATATGCTTACTTTCTAAGTATCTAAGGGGCATGAAGAAAAGGCAGGAATTATTCTACACATCTCATGATTCCTCATATTGCCAGACCTGTTGTGGAGTCCTGTAGCTCAGTGGTTAGAGCACTCGCTTTGCAAGCGAGAGACCTGAGTTCAATTCCAGGCAGGGCGAAACCTTGGGCAAGTTTCCTTACTCCACACGCCTAATAATAATCCCTCCAAAAAAACAAAACAATAATAAATTGGTCATTTTTCAATCTACGACTGTTTGTGGGACATTGCTGTGCGCAATTGGCTGCCGCGTTCGCCCACAAATATACAGTCAATTCACTTTACAGTGTGTTCTGTGAAGCGCTTTGGGACGTCCTCCCGACGTGAAAAGCGCTATATCAAATGCAAGGATTATTATTATTATTATATTATTATTATTAAGACAAGAATCAAACTTAACTGTGTCTTTCCCAGCTGATTGTGCCAGCTCATTCCCTTGCCTATGGTTTCAAAATCCTCGTTAAATTCTGACTTGTCCTTTTCCCCCCTCCCATCTCTGACCTTCTCTTGCACATGCCTTCTTCTCAGGTAACTCAGGTCTACTGTGCATTCCTTATCCCACCACAAGCAGTTGAGCCTCCAGCCACTACGTCCCTGCCCTCTGGAGCTCCCACTCAAAATCCCTTTGCTTTCTCCCTCCCCCGTCTTTGAAAACCTATTTCTTCGACCATCTTTCTCATTTTCGAAAGGGGAGTAATATCTAAATATTAATGTTAGCTTCTCCGAGTGTGTATGACTGAGTGTTGCACTTGGCCATATAGACCGGAAGAATGCAGTCTTGATCCCAGTCTTTGCTAAGTTAACTGTTCTCAGTTTAGGTAGCTATTGGAATACTACATAATTGACCTTAGTCAGTGAAGTGAAGATAAATGAGAATTCCTTCTTTTGCTCTCCAGGGATGTTTGCTGGTAAGTCCATGATGTGTTCATTGGGTGAGAACCAGACCAGGTTCTATGCCCTGAGGGTCAAATAGCCAGCCGATGGTTACACCAAGGCTCGCACATGGATAACAATCACTTGGATGCGGCACCAGAGGGCACCCTGTGCCCTTGGAACTCGGGAGCAAAAATGAGTCAATGCTTCCTCATGAGTAGGGGACTGAAAAGAAGGAAATAAGAAACATTTTGGGATGAGCGGCGAAACCTATTAAATATTATTTTGTAATCTATGAGACTTATATTAAAAATAATGAGTGATTTATAAAAGTTTTTAAGCATAATTAATAGCACACCATTGACACTCTTGCCTCTAAATCAGAAGCTTATGCTTTCAAGCCCACGTCAGGACTTTGAACTCAGTCTAGCCTGACATTCCAAATGCAGCGCTGGGGGAGTGCTGCATTTTTAGAGGTGTTGTCCTTTGGATGAGAAATTAATCTGAGGTCCCATCTGCCTGTTCAGGGGACATTAAAAATCCATGGCACTATTCCAAAAGAAAAGGAAATTTCTCCTGGTGTTCTGACTAGTCTCTCAAAGCACTAAACACAAGAAAGCACGGAGGAAGAAAAGATCAATAGGCATTTGCCTACAAGTACAGTCACTACGTTTCACATTAAAATCCTGGGAAGTGCTTTGAGATGTTTCAACATCACTATATCCAATACAAGTGTTATTTTTTATATAATTATTAATAACAAAATTGAAGAGTGTCATCTATATTGAAACTTTCTTTTTGGTATTGTTTTGCAGAATGAAAGTAAAAAAGTTGCCTATGATTTTAGCCCTTCATTTAAAGAGATTTAAATACATGGATCAACTGCATCGATACACAAAATTATCCTACAGAGTAGTCTTTCCTTTAGAACTACGGCTATTCAACACATCAGGAGATGCTACCAATCCAGAGAGAATGTATGACCTGGTTGCTGTTGTGGTGCACTGTGGAAGGTAGGTACTGAAAATAATTGTTCAATTCATCTTGCACTTGTATAGCCCGTGGGGTAACATCTCAAAGCACTAAACACACGAAAGTACGGAGCAAGAAAAGATCAATAGGCTCAATAAGCTCATAACTTCCATAGGACAATATACAGTTGACTCTGTCATGGATTTATCTTATGCACATAAGTTCTCCATGCTTCTGACCTTACCGTCTATATTCCGTTACCTGCTTATAATAACATTTCCATTGTCCTAGCTGCTCTGGAAACTTAAACTTCAAGGATTGCATTAATTGCTTGGTAGTATTTATTAAAAATAAATAGTGGTATATGCAGTGTTCCAAAGAATTCCAAGTTAGACTTCTCCCTGCTCGTTGTCTAACCCTGCACTGTGAAGCCCTCAGAGACATTATGCTACGTGAAAAGTACTAAATAAATGCAACATGTGTACCATGTTCCAGTACATGTTATACAAACTCAAAATAGTCTTCAGCTGGGGTATGAGCATTACAACTGGCCTCAGTATCCCTGGGCTGTGGGGGAAAAGGAAAAAAATGAGCTTTATGAAGAGAAAAAGGAGGAAATCTGCCCCTCACCAATGCATTTTTCAGGAAAATGGTGAAAGGGAAAACAGCAACAACAAAAAATTGCATTTGTACAACGCCTTTCACGTCAGGAGGACGTCTCAAGGTGCTGGGCAGTCAGGGATCTGCACCCTAGCTGGCCACCCCAACCGAAGGCACGGTTGAAGAGAAGGGTCTTGCGTCGGGTATATAAGCAGGGAATATATTTTGCGTCTTTTTTCTCCCATTCCATTTTGCACTCCTCTCCTTAGGGTACTGACTTGCTAAAATATAGTTCCACAGCACTAAGAACCATCCAGTGCCTCTTCTCAAGTAGACATTTGTCGTCTGTGAGCCTGAGCAGTGAGTTTTAGCTGTTTGACTGCAGAAAGCATCACTGCCAACCCCAATTCTTTTTTCAACTGATGTTTATATATGTTCAGATAGAAATCGAGATGATAATCTTTGTGCTTTTTTTTCCCTTTTCCTAATCCTGGTGTGCTAAAGCCGTTCTGAAACTCAAATCTACAGCTCTCTTGTTTGTATGTTTAGTTCTATCCAGAGTACTTACCCTGTCCACTAGATCATCAGAGAAGCACTTTGTTTTTTAAAAAAATTGTAGCAACACTAGTAACAGTGAAGGCAGTATCTCACAGTAATTTATCATCAGCTGAAGCTAAATTAAAATCCATTTGAGCCATTCTTTATGTGCCTTTAGTTTAATGTTTTGTTAAATACTCTGTTACTACACTATTACTGCACTCTCAGCTTCATTAATTTAACCATTGCAAATACTCTTGGTGGCAATTGTGTTTTTTNCTGTCTCTCGTTCTGCGTAGCCAATGAAAGCACTGAATTATGGATGGTTCATTTTACAATGGACCACTGCCAGTTTTCTGACAGAGTATAACAATAAGCAGAATGCAATAAACAGAAAACAGGATGTGCAGGACATTTTCTTGTGACTCTTTCGTTCCCATATTTTGCTAGTAAGAATCTGATGTGAAGGAGTTGGTGCACTAATGATACTGTTTGTCTCTTTGTTTTGTTCAGTGGTCCTAACCGAGGACATTACATTGCAATAGTAAAGAGTCACGATTTCTGGCTGCTATTTGATGATGATATAGTCGAGGTACGTTTATTTGAATTCTTGGTTAATTCAAACAATTTTTTATTAGCAATTTGTGTTCGGAAATGACGTATTTCAGCCAGGAGCGAACATTTTTTTTTAGAAATTACTTTCATCATGATTTTTAGCAGTTTTAAAAAAAGACCCTCTTGGCTTTCCTATATTATTTTATATTATCTGGAATCAGTAATTTAAATCTACAGAAGATGATGCTAGGTAGCTGACACCACATACAATATTTTACATACTTAAGCAATGTTCTTTTTAAAAAAAACACTTCAGCTATTTTTTAAGATACAGCCCTTGTCAACATTTGTTGTGCTAATGATCATGTGAATTCACAATTTATGAATAGACACACAAAACAATTACTTGTTAATCAGAGAATTCTTCCCCCTCCTACAGAATAAGTTTTAGAGGGGACGTAATAGAGGTGTTTAAAATTATAAAGGGTTCTATGAGGTTAGCATAAAAGGGCAATTACATTAGTCAGGGAGTTCGTAACCAGGGGATACAAGTATGAGATAGTAAAGATTGGAATTTAAAAGAGAATTTATGAGGAAGTACATTACATGGAAGTAGTGAGATTGTTGCCTGAAGGGGTGTTTGAATCAGATTGTATAGATACAAGAGGAAGCTATGTCTTCACTTGAGTCAAAGGGTATGGGAGGGAGTAAGGAATGGGTGGACATTCATGTGGAGTATAAACCTGGCACAAACTAGTTGGGCTGAGTGCCCTGATTCCATGCTGTGCATTCTTTGTAAAGCCGTTTTCTGATTTAGAGTGATGACTTGTGACTTACCAAACTGTGCGCATGGACCCTGGCAAAAGTTCAGCACCATGATTGTACTGAATTTGTTTTACGTAATTAGCAATTCATAGTTTTGATCTGTAAACCTTTTTTCGTTACCATTTATAAATCTCTCAGATGCTAACAAAATGTTTCTGTTGTTTTCTGTGCAGAAAATAGACGCACAAGCCATTGAGGAGTTCTATGGGTTGACATCTGATATCTCGAAGAATTCTGAGTCCGGTTATATCCTCTTCTACCAGTCCAGGGATTAAATAGATACCGAGAGGAGGAAAATATTTCTGCCTGGTTCACTTCCCATTGCTCGCTCTTGCAGAGAGGAAGCACTGAGATCATGCAAAGGAACAACTGAAGTTGAGAGAGAGCTTTTCCTCTTTCTTGCAAAATTTCAGTTACACTAGAGTAACGCTGATTGTATTGGCACAGCGAAAATATCCATGTAAACCAAGCAATCTTACCAGATGTAGAATCACATGGGGAGTAAACTATAGCACCTCTGTGCATAAGGGATGCTTACAAAGTGGGCAGATAGCTTGGTGTTATGATGTCGATCTCCTAACTCGGATCGCTGTTATGACTGAAAGCAATGCATGTATGGAACCAAAGTGAACCAACTGATGTTGCATCAGGATAATCTTCCCTTGCTTCATCCTGTTTGAGTTTTTAAGTTAAATGACTTTTACGTCCATAAATTAGGAACTAACTACTGGGTCTAGATTTCATTGATAGTACAAGACAAAAAATAATGGCAGTTGCAATTAACAAATTTGGGCAAATATTTCCATCAATAACAATGAAGAGGAGGACACTTACAGATGACATGAGGTCTCTACACCATATTTGGACCATCGTCTATAAGGTCTTGAGACTTGTATTTGACCAGATCTTGTAAATGCATCTACTTCCAATTTGCACAATAAGGTAAATATGTAATATTCTTGCAAACTTGGTATTAACACACTTTTTGGGTTGACTTGGTACTCTATCCATCAATAGTGGAATATAGTTCTGGTTGACCACTTGTTTTGCTAGAAATGTGACTGTTTGCATGAGGAGCATTCAAATGTGAGTAGATGTTAATTGCAGGGTCTAAGCCACCAGGAAATCCGGAGTCTTATATGTACGGCAGTGAAGAAACATTTGTCAGGATAAGAGAATGGACTAAATCTTGTAAAGTTATTTTTGTTATCCCAGAGAAACTATCAGTTGGAGAGGTGTTGTAAGAGAAATTCCAAGTTTTATTTTTTTTCTGACTCATTATGCATATGTTGCATCACAAAGGCAAATAGACCATGTCTGACATGTCTTACTGGAATGAAAGACACTTATCATTTACCATATAGAACTGTGCCCTCGGGATTTCCCATTATAGTCTATATACAACAAATCTCATTTCTTAAAGATGCATTAGTTGCTTTATAAACAGTTTCAGTTTCAGGAAATATTTAGATAAACAGTATTATGTATAATAATGTTATTCTAAACCTACTTTGTCATAACACCTTATAATTTCTGCTCTATTGTGCCTGCTTTGCTAATCTGACCCTGCACACTTCACTATGGTAATCTAAGTGTATCTGAATATTTGCCTAAAAAATCTGGTCTATAATTCCCATGCATGTAGTTGGCAATCCACAGTCACAGATGAATGTAAAATCTGAAGCCAATTTGAAAAATTCAGATTTGCTGCATTTTGCTTATACAAATTAAGAAACTTTGCTTATGGGGTGCCTGTTAACTGACGCTTATGGCGGTTTCGTATGTAAGAATAAATTCCTACCTCCCCCTGTTGGTTCAAATCCGACTGCGAGTTCAGTGGATTTGATTCAAATGGATGCAAATGCAGTTTGAATCCTGTTCCACCTCCTGACCTGCAGTGCACATTAGCTCACGTCTCTGATTTTAGTTTTGATGCAGTCTGATTGTATGCCCTGGTTTATGTTGTGGGGTAAAGATAGGTAAGTTGAATTAGGTTCAGGTCCACTGAATCTGCGGGTCCATTTTGAGTGGTAATGTAGATGGTGTATAGGGTAGTAAACTCCCATCAGTATGAGTTCCAGAGTGATTTGCATATACTTTCGAGTGGGTTTCAAGACCAGAGTCACTATTCTGAATAAACCAGGTGGAGAAGCATTTACCACCTCTTTGTTGTGTACAGTACTTCATATCAAAACTGTGAAATCCTGGGAAAGAATGTCTATCTGCTGCTAAAACAAACTTTGATTTATCAAAGTACATTCTGTAGCTTTTAGAATAATGCTTTCTGACTTGTTGGCTCAGGTAATGCTGTGGTCTTAACATTTGGTACCACTTTAATCCTTAGCTTTTATCGTTAGGTTTGCTTCTTAAAAAATAAAGTGGGGAGGACAAGTATCATGTTATTGGGATAATTGTCAACCAGTGGGGCTAGAGTTGAGATTGATTGCTGCTGCATAGCCAGTGCCCAGAATATTTCTTTCAGAGTAAATGGTTCTTTAAGTCCCTGTTAAGTTTTTCTGCAATGCATTAATTGATCACTTGTTTACCCTGCATTCGATTACATATTGAGGTTCACCAACAGGGAAACCATTTATATTTGGTGGAATGATTTTTCTCTTCTATCCTCTCTCTCCCTTCCCCCAAACTTGAAATAATCTGTACTTTATAGTTGCTGTAGTTTTAAAAACATAAAATGAATGCTTAAATCTTTTTTAAAAGAATAATCAGTGGATGAGTGAGATATCTTAAGATTTTCCAGCATTATGCATTTGTTCCTGTGTTACGCTCGGTTTTGTAAAAAAAAATATTTTTGGGTGTGGGTTTTAGTAAATATTAGGAAGTGATTTGGATATTGTGCAGCAGTGAAATGGTTCAAAATTTGATAATTCTGGATATTTTAATTGCTACAAAAAATTACATTTTAGCCATCAGAAATCATAGGGTGATGGGTGGGGAGGGGGGTGGGGGAAGAAACCAGTAAATAGTGGAACTGATTCATGTCCTTATGTCAAAATGTTCTTTAGGACACAACCGACGCATATTTTGTATATTGGGTCAGAAATTTCTACATAAAAAAGTATGTTCTTTGATAGCATATTGTATGTATGTATATATATATATTGAAAAATTACTCTAAATTATAAATTGTTGCACTTTTGATACTGATTTTTAGGTGTATTTAAGGGGTTACTTGAGGCAGCCTGTTGATTAATTATGTTTTTGTCTTAAAGAAATAAAAAAATCATTTACAGGCCTCAGGAGTGCTTGAATTTTATGTCAATCTGTCTTTGGTGAATATCCAGACAATCTTTATTCCAAGAAAATGTGTTTAATTCTAAGGTTGAACTACTTTTGAGTGTTATTCCTAGTTTATATACCACCATCAGCAGATTATGATTATTTTATCAGAATTGCTTTTACATTTTACAGTAGTGTTCAAATAACTTCTTTTTCAGTAACGGATTCTTACAGCAGTGAGATATAGATACACACATTTCTATGGTCTCTCGTTCACATCCTGGCAGAATGATAATGATGGAATGCAATGTGATAGGTTTGCCAGTTTCCCAGTAGCGACAGCTTACCCAGTATGTTTATTGTTTCTGATCTATGTTACATTACAAGGTAAATGTGATAATTAAGCTCATCGCTCATCTACTAAATCGTTTGAATGAAATGTTATGCATCAATCATGTTATGTGGAGAACTGAGTTCATGGCTGTGTTTTTGTACAAGTGTCTTGATTATACCATTGCAAGAAATTCTTGCAGTCAAACTAATGGAAAAGACGCCAGTTCTGGATTTGGCAGTTACAAAAGCCATAAACCTCTAAATTAATTAGATGTAAAATTAAACCACTTCCTTAATAAAAATATCAACATAAGATCTTTGTAATGTGGTCATCTGGGTCCAGTGTGTCAGGCTCTGTAAAGAGATGAGATGAAATATCTGACTTAAGTTTGCCACTGACTTCACTTCCTCCTCACTGGGAGGACCAGTATGGTATGGGCTAAGGAATGCAATTCTGGAGATATAGAAGGCATCCCACTGTCGGAAACCCTAAGTCTCTGTTGAAGAGTTGAAGAGTGCATGTTAGTTTTGGTTGACCTTTCCAACATGGAGATATATAATTAAAAATTAGTGATCAATTTTACAATATCTGGACATTAACATTTCTTCCCTTGAACCTCTAAAGCAGTTGTAATATGTTGTAGAATATAAAATGAAAGACTAATGACTGTAGTTTTGAATCAAAGGGGTTGAGTTAAAATCTCAGTTCTGGTGTACATTTTAATTCAACTGAATACAATAGCTTTTCCTTACAAATGGTTGCCCTCCACAGAGAATTTGTTTTAAGGTTCAGCTTGAAGGTGTTTGTGCAGAATTATGTAGAGATACTACTACTAATTCACTGCAGGAGGATCACCCAAAGTGCTTCACAGGATAATAATAATTAATAATAATTCTTGGATTTAATATAGCGCTTTTCACGTCTTCTAGACGTCTCAAAGCGCTTCACAGAATATACTGTAAAGTGAATTTACTGTACATTTGCGGGCGAAACTCGGCAGCCAATTGTGCACAGCAGTGTCCCACAAACAGTCGTGGATTGAAGTCACCAATTTTTTATTATTGTTTTTTTTCTTGAGGGATTATTATCAGGCGTGATGATAATATAGTGTAAATTGCGGTGACAGTGTTTTGTGTGTGAACTCGGCAGCTAAGTTTCGTATAGCAATTTCCCACAAACAGCCAAGAAGTGAAAGACCAATTTTATTGAATGATTGTTGGCTGGAACACTGGGAGAAACTCCATTCTCTTTTCAAATCGTGTCATGGGATCTTTAACTTCTGCCTGAATAGTTTAACTCTCATCCAAACAATGGCACCTCCAACAATGCAGTGCACCTCAGCATAGCATTGGAGTAAACTACATGAGTTAAGAGTGCTAATGTGCGGCTTGAACACCCGACCTTCTGATTCAGAGGTGAGAGTGCTACCAACTGAGCCAAGCTGACACCTGCCTGTAGCTCAGTGGGAAAAAACAGCGATAAATAAAACAATAAATGAAAACTTTTAGCTTGACAAATATAACATTGTAAGTAATCTTGCAGACATTCCAGGATTACTGCTTTTATTTCCTTATCGGTGGGTGAGCTTTCATCCCAGAGTCCCTTCACCATTCCTACCCAGCCTATAAAGCCCATCTTACTTCCACCCTCTGGAACTCCATCCCGCAGTCCCTCTGCCTCATCCCCTTCCTTGCCTCCTTCAAGACCCGTCTCAAGACCCTCCACTTCGACCGTGCCTTCGGTCACCTTCCTTCCCGTTTGCCCTCCATCTTACCCGATTCTGCCCTCCATCTTCCCCGATTCTGACCTCCAGCTCGGGTCCAAAACACTGATTTGGGATGTCCTCCCGATGTGAAAGGCGCTATGGAAATGTAATTTTTGTTTATTAAGACCCATCTTTCAACCGCAATTTTGATCACCTTCCCCCCCCCCCCCCAAACTGAGGCTCCCAGGGAGCTGTGAGAAGCACTTTGGGATGTCCTGACATCAATGGCAATATATAAATGTAAATTGATATAATGTTACTATATATTTCGGGGTGTAGTGGCTGAAGGCACAGCCACCAATGGTGGAGTGGAGGGGACGAAGGACAAACCAGGCCAGAGCCAAGAGGAGGCAGCAGGTGGTGGAGTGAGGGGTAAGCAGATTGGGATACACCATTCAAAAGATCCAGCTCATCCAGAACTCTGCCACCCGCATACTCACCCGGACCAAATTCCATACCCACATCTCACCAGTTCTGGCCAGGCTCCACTGGCTCCCCATCACCAAATGGATCGATTTCAAGATCTTCACACTCGTGTTCAAATCCATTCACTCCCTGGCACCTCCCTACCTCTCCAACCTCCTCACTCTCCAATCCACCATTGGATCCACACCATCCACACCTTCTGCTCGACTGGCACCGGCCTCCTGCTCGTCTCTCAGACCCACCGCCCCACCAATGGAGGTCCCACTTCCAGCCACTACGCCCCAAAACTCTGGAACACTCCCCCTCAATCCCTCCGCCACTGTACTCTGCATGGTGGGCGCTGTATAAGTGCAAGTTGTTGGAAATATGTAAGGAGGTCGAGGGGGTGAAGGGATTTGAAAACAAGATCTTGAAATCAATACCAGTCAGCTCCTTAATTAGATTCCCCACCACTGTAACCTTGACAACATCAATTGGGCGTGTCGCTCAGGGAATGCTTTCGACCTCCTTTCTTCCCCCTCCTCCCCTCGCTCACTTACAAAACATAATTTAAATTCTTCAAATTCCAATTCAGGTGCAATTCATCTCTGTCCACAATGTGATTAATATTGATGTGCCTCAATCTCAATTTATCATTGAAAAAATGGAAAATCAAGTGTACTCAAGGGTATTTGAGTCCCACTGGTAGCCCACTGAGCTCTATAGCCTAAGTCATTGAGGTATAGGATTTCCTCACTCCGTTGTATGCACGAGCAAACCACTGCAGGGTTTGCTACATTGTGCGCTGACTGACACAAGTGGCATGGCTGTCTGAAGCAGCTTTATTTTTGCATTGACTTTTCTATTTATAGTTTCATACAGAAACTAAGAAACTCTGTAGAACTCTTAAGAAATGTGATGCCAGTAATGGATGCAGTCTTTGAAGGTGATTTCGACCAAATGCAACAAAATGAATTCAAGATTGTTCACGCAAAACAATGGTGAAGTGGTTGCTAAATATATTGAACCACACATTAATTCAAATCTCGAAAGCCACAAAGAAAGGCTATATTTGCTTCAAGTGTGGTATTGCGAAAGTGGAGTCTTCATGAACCCTGATGCCTCTTTTCAGCCATTAAGTAATTAATGTTAGTTTACAGAAACTGTTATAGAGTTTTTATTTCTGCATGTTCTGTTTTTCCATCTTGGTAGCAAGTATTTATTGAAGCCAGGCTCCTACTTAAACTATGAGCAGATGGAACTTTTCAGCCATGATCCATATTCACGATTGGTAAACATCTGTTGTTTGGTCTGCAGTTGGCTTTAACTCTTTGAAGTCAAATTCGGCAGCAATTTCAGACCCAAATGAAAATGTTAAGTTTGGAATTTTATTTGTTGGATGATGTTTTATTTGTTATTTGCTGCTTCTATATGTTTAAATAGTTACTTTTTTTTAAAGATGTTTCAGAAATGCATATGTCAGAAGGTGGTAGAATGATGGAACGTATTACCTCCTTGTGGTGTGTCACCAAGTGGTAAGGTATAGATTTGCACTCTGAAATTTTCCATATAGCAAGTTCCTGATGTCTGTTGTGCTAAGGACTACAATTCAGAAGTTCAGCGGAGCTCACTGACCAAGGGAAAAATGAGATGGTTAATCATTCCCAGGCGGCTTTGGAGACTCAAGAACAGTGCCAGTGGCGCAGTAGCAGATTGCTTACCAACTTGGGAAGTGAATGGAATTCACTTGAGTTCGAAGATATAAAAGTGAGGAAGAACATTAAGATGCAAAACAAGTGTTTTACCCCCTCCTTAGCCTCCTTCAAGTCCCGCTTCAAGACCCTCCTCTTCGACCATCCCATCGGCCACCCCCCTTCCCCTCCCCTCCCTTCTCCCCCTACCCCTCCCCCCCCCCCCCCCCCTCGAACCCAGCTCGGGTCTGAAATGCTGTACACTGTCCAGTGCCTTGGGACGTCCTCTCGACATGAAAGGCTCTATACAAATGTAATCTTGTTCTTGTTATTCACCATATTTTTATGAAATTAATAATGCTAACTTCAATTTTTGATCATTGATAGTAAAAACATGTAAACAATGTATTGCTAATTAAAGCTATTCATTTCAAGCTATGTAAAATCATGTAATCAATCGATGCACAACCTGCAGATCAGGATAAGAATTTTATTTATAGCAATGAAGTATTAACTACTTTTGAAAGTACATAGCTAACAAATATATTTGTCTCACTCCAATTCCCAGTCTACAACCTATTGGTTAATGACATCATTTTTAACAACTCTTTCAAAGAGCCAGCAGGTACAATGGGCCAAATGACTATAGCAATGAAGTATTAACTACTTTTGAAAGTACATAGCTAACGAATATATTTGTCTCACTCCAATTCCCAGTCTACAACCTATTGGTTAATGACATCATTTTTAACAACTCTTTCAAAGAGCCAGCAGGTACAATGGGCCAAATGACATACTTCTGTGCTGTAGGATTCAATGAT